TTGGGGCAGTCTGCCTCTTGGGTCAGTCTTCCTCTGGGGTCAGTCTTTCTCTGGGCTCAGTCTTCCTCCAGGGTCAGCCTTCCTCAGGGGTCAGTCTTCCTCAGGGGTCAGTCTTCCTCTGGGGTCAGTCTTCCTCAGGGGTCAGTCTTCCTCTGGGGTCAGTCTTCCTCTGGGGTCAGTCTTCCTCTGGGGTCAGTCTTCCTCTGGGGTCAGTCTTCCTCTGGGGTCAGTCTTCCTCTGGGGTCAGTCTTCCTCTGGGGTCAGTCTTCCTCTGGGGTCAGTCTTCCTCGCAGTAAAAGTGTGAGAAATCGATGTGAGCTGATGTTCTCCTGGAGATGTTCTCCCCTGGTATCCAGAGGTTAATAAGGACGCCATCTAGTGGCTGCTGATTCCTGCAGTGTCACGTGTGTCACACACACACACACACACACACACACACAGAGAATCCATTAGTGCATATTAAACACGTCAACGTTCTTGATGTTCTGACTTGTGTTTCCGTGTCATTAACCTCCGTCGCTCAGAGCAGGGCAGGAAGGAGCACAGATGCATTGTGGGTGTTCCACCAACAGCCACTTTGTGGCCATATGAAGAAGGAGGTTCCTTTTATTTCCCTGTATGTGAATAACATGGGACAAACACGAGGGGGAATCCTCTGATCTTGGAGTTTATGGTTTGGTTCTGAAACAGTAAAAGTTTACATCAAATACACGTCATATATGTTTATGAGACCGGACTGATGATGGAAAACAACAGGTATGTGTGTGTGAAACATCGTCGTTGATGTTTTTTTCATGAGGATGAGAAAAGACTGTCCTGAAGGTGAACTGGAATTTATTCAACCTCGTCCACTTGATGGAGAGAGAGAGAGAGAGAGAGAGAGAGAGAGCACTGCTGCCGCTGCTGTATGTCGTTGCCGTGGCGACCCGTCCTGCTGAGGTAGCAGAGCGCTGATGACAATGATTTGATCCTAACTATATACATATTCCAAATTGGGGACAAGGACTCACAGGAAGGGGGGAGGAGGGGGGAGTCTCTGGGTGGTGTTAACTGTTGTTCAGTTTCACGTGAGGACTGCAGTGAACACGGAGTGTGAACATTTGACCTCAGCCTATCAGGAGCCTCGCTCATTCTAGTAGAACATTTGGCAGAAATAAAGTTGTTATTTGAACAAAAGTTCCGATTCTTCAAAGCCCGGTGTTTACGGAGCTAAATGATGCTGTGTGAATGTGCAGGAGAGGCAGAAAAGTACATGAGGGTGAGTGAGGAAGATGGGAGTGAAACTGAACGCAGGTCGTCACATGTACAGATGTTTACGGGGTAACTGTGGCGTTCTTCAGACGTTGACGTTGCCATTATTTAACGACCGTTTGTTCAGGACGTGAGAACACGTCCTGAGGGCAAACACCTGTGTCCGCCGCAGAGCCACTGCACGTACCAGGTCCAAGACACGACCCATATCTTGGCCTTTGATGCCTGTTGCCGTGACGACTCAGACTTGGAGCATCACTGCACCAGCAGGTGTGAAGGAAATGAAACCTTCACAAAACATCATGAAGAAAATAAAGAAGGGGGAGGAAAGGGGGGAGAGTGAAGGTCAGAGGGGAGAGAGGCTGAGTTTCCTCCAGGTTTATTTTCTTCCAAATCCAGTAGCTGCGTTTCCAGACCGACTTAAACTGATCGTATCATTTATAAATAAATATGTGTTGGAGGAGCAGAGGATTATGAACAGTGGAGGTCAGAAGAACCCGACCAGACCTGGGGGGGGGGGGCATTAAGTCCAATCTCTGACCGACAGCAACATGACCTCAGGGTCATGGAGCGGTTTATCCCCTCCATAAATCTGCTCTGGAAAATTCTGTTCCAGATTCAGTACATAAATGTTGAGAGGCTGAGGGGGGGGGACTTGATCAACACTGACATTGAGCTGAGGGGGGGGGGGCAGACGTGGGGGTTATTGTTGTTTTAATTATGAATGTGAAAATGTGACGTCATTGGTTGAAGTGCAGCTGTCAATCAGGAGCACGGCCACGTCAGAGGCTGCTGGTTCAAATCCCGGCTCAGGCAGGGATGTGAACCTTCTCTCTTTCACTCCTGACAGTCTGACCATGACTGGTCCATCCAGTCTCCATCAGCTGGGTCAGTCATACAGCTGGATGAACATGAACTGTGGACACAGATATGGGGGGGTGGAGGGTGGACGGGGGGAAGGGGGGGGCAAGGGAAGGTCAGTGATGACTGAACTCTTGGCCACCCCCCCCTCTCCGACTGAGCCTTACAGGGGGAGGGGACAGAAGGAGAGCAGACGGGTGGGGGGGACAGATGATGTCAGAGGAACGACGGCGACATCAGCCGGGGTTCAACCTCAACACTTCACACCTGGAGACTGGAGTCGACAGTGAAACCAAACCGTCCTGTTCCTCCTTCAGTCCCGCCTCAGTCTGAACTGATGCCAGTTTCTCCTCTACAGGGGGGAGGAGGGGGGGGGGTAGAGAGGAGGAGAGGGAGTTGGAAGATGGAACTGAGGAGGGGGTGTAGAATCAGGTCCAAAAACCTCCGTCTGTGCTTCAACAGAACAGAGTTTACATTTAAGTTTTTAATATAAAAATAATATAAATATTTCATTTTTATTTTCAACAAATCAGATACACAGTGAAGCACGGATTTAAAGAAGTATAACAATACTAAAAAATATAATAAAATATCATATAAATAAACCGTGGTTCTAAGTGTGTATCTCTCACACTCTGACGCCATCTACTGTTGGATGTGGAGATGTGGAGCTGAGCTCTCCTCTCTTCTAGTACATATAGTTTTACAGAATTCAAATAAAATAAATATATAAAATGAATAAATCTTTTTTTTCTTACAGTTTTTAATCATTTATTGTAATTATACGTCTTTTCACGCCGTCACTGGAGAAATCAATGAAAACACTGTTGTTTTTTAATCATCTGATTTAATGTGAAACTCTGGTGTTGACATAAATTTAAATGATGAACAAACACTTTTTATCATTTTGTTTCCGTCTTTTGTTGCTTTCTAATCTATATTTCTGTCCCTAAAATCAAATGAATCTCCTCCTTCAGGCGGGAGCGTCGTCTGATTTCACGTTAATATCTTTGGGGATCAGGAGACAGTGGTAATAAACGTCCAGTCTCGGCTTCTGTGATTCGTTGGATTTCCGTCACACACAGATTCACGGAGGCTGTTCTCCAGATGGTTCTGTAGATCCAGCTGACACAGAACCTGCTCCTGTTCCCACATTCAGCAGCAGGTTCTGTCCCAGATGGACCAGCATGACCGTCGTGTTGTTATTCTTACTGTAAATATGTCGTTCTAACTGTCAATGAAACACTTTATTACAAATAATAATAATAATAATATCCCCCTCCCCCCCCCCCCCCCCCCCCCCCCCCCCCCCCCCACAGCTGTCCACTGCTTCCACCGACGTCCCGCCCGCTCTGCTCGTCCCATGTTCTCAGATGGCCGTCTGTTGAAGCCGCTGGCGGTGAATGCTGAGCAGGCTGGCGAGGTCAGGCTCCGCCTCATTGTCCTGTGATTGGCTACTGGACCAGACCGAGGTCAATGGAGCCAATGCCCAACAAGCAGGATAGCAACTCGTCTGAGGGGGACGAGAAAGGGTGAGACTCAGCACGCGTGTGTGTGTGTGTGTATTCATTCCATGATGACGAATCCCCCTCCTCCCCCTCCTCCCCCCTC